TTCTTATCATTTAATTAAGTATTGTGCTAATGTTTTATGTAGTAAATTAGTAATTACTAAGTTTAAAATATAATATCATAACTCAATATCAATTAAGTATTATTATTATGTATGTTTATTATTATATGTATCATACTATAAATATATAATGTAATGTATAATGAATTAGTAATCATACTCAAATCTATAATTAATATTATAATTAATTCAATTTCAAATCATTTAATTAATATACTAATGTTTATAGGAATGTTATAATTGATTAATAATCATATTACAAATATATAAAGTAATGTTATAATTAATAAATTTTTAATCGTTTAATTAAGTATGTAAATGTATAGTAAATTACTAATGTTTATAATGTAAGTTATAAATCCATAACTAATTAGTAATTATGTAATCATTTAACTATAAATGCTATAATTAAGTAGTAATCATAATATAATGTAATATTATAATATTATAATTAATTGAGTAATTATTAACTATAATGTAATGCTTAATTAATGTTTATAATGAAATGTTTATAAGATAATGTTATAATTAATTAAATTTTTTATCATTCAATTAAGTATTGTGCTAATGTTTATATAGTAAATTAGTATTACTAATTTTAAAATATATATCATAACTCATAATCAATTAAGTATTATTTATTATGTAATGTTATATTATTATATGATCATACTATAATAGTATAATGTAATGTTGTAATGAATTAAATAGTCTACTATAAATCTATAATTTAATATATAATTAATTAAATTTCAAATTATTTGATTATATACTAATGTTTAATAGAATGTTATAATTGATTAAGTAATTATTTATAATATATAAGGAATGTTATAATTAATTAAATTTTTAATCGTTTAATTAAGTAATGTAATAATATAGTAAATTAGTAAATTACTAATGTTTATAATGTATGTTATAAATTCATAACATTATGTAATTATATAATCATTTAACTATGTAATGCATAATTAAGTAAGTGATCATAATATATAATGTAATATAATAATATTATAATTTAATTGAGTAATTATTTAACTATAATGTAATGTTTAATTAATGTTTATAATGAATGTTTATAAGGTAATGTTATAATTATTAAATTTCTTATCATTTAATTAGTATTGTGCTAAGGTTTATGTAGCAAATTAGTAATTACTATGTTTAAAACATAATATCATAACTCATAATCAATTAAGTAATTATTTATTATGTAATGTTATAATTAATTATATAATCATACTATAATGTAATGTTATAGTGAATTAACTATTACAATCATAATATAAATTTTTAATGTAATATTATATTAATTAAATTTTTAATCATTTAATTAAGTTTTACTAATGTTTATAATAAAGTCAATTAATTAAGCAGTAATCAATAATGTATACTATTAATTATACATAATCAATTAAGTATGTTATACAATTATAATTAATTAAGTAATCATTTAACTATAATGTAATGTTATAATTGATTAAGTATGATATTTAACTATAATTAAATTTATTAATGTTTATCAATTTATCATATAATTATTAATTACTAATTTATTATAGATATACTTAGAACTTGATAATTGAAGTAAATAACTAAATATATTATTACTCAATCAAATATACTATTTTATTCAAAAATATTCTTTTAATAACATTAAAATGTAAAACGCTTTTAATTGGATCATAATTCAATTATTCTTAATTGATCAAAACTTTAATATTAATGTATTATAATATATTAAAGCTTTTAATATGGTGTAATTTAATGTAATAAGTATAATTGTATTCGTATATTATTTATTAGGTTATTTTAAAATTTAACTTTTTCTATTTTAAATTTTTTATATGTAAAATATAGAAATCCCTCATTATTTACATTTCACAAATATTTCATTAAATCCAGGTTCCAAAATAGGTTCTAAATAGGTTCCAAAAACAGGTTCCAATATAGGTTCTAAAACAGGTTCCAAGCAGTTCCAAAACAGGTTCTAAACAGGTTCCAAACAGGTTCCAAAACAGGTCCAAACAGGTTCCAAAACAGGTTCCAAAACAGGTTCCAAACAGTTCCAAACAGGTACCCCTATAGGTTCCAAACAGGGTACCCTTTTTACAGGTTCCGTTCCGGTTCCGGTTCCTCCGGGGTAAGAACCGGAACCGAACCGCACAGTAGCGGTTCCAAAAAATTGGAACCGGAACCTACCCGCACAGTGCAGTTCTGGGTAGGTTCCGGTTCTGGTTCCGGTTCTTACCCCCGGTTCCGGTTCTACCGCTACCCGTGTCACCCCCTAGTTCCAAAGAAGTTCCTGCCTCACCTTCAGTTGTTTCTCTTGCTAGTGGTTCCTACTCTTGGTAGGCGTGTAGATCATTCTAATCACTATACTTTTTAGTTTTTATATTCTTATGATAAATAAAGTATTATTTATTTTTAATTTTAACTTTGGACACTTAACTATTTAAATGGTGCAAGATTTTGACAACTATGAGAGTGATTTTATTTCCACTAATAAATCCGAATTAGATGAGGTTTGATCGCGTCAAATATCAGAATTTGGATATCTTCGATCATTGAAAGAACAATTGTGATTGTTATCTGGTACTTGCCATGATGACTCATGATATCATGGCAATACCAATAACATCCATTGCTTCGGAGTCCGCTTTTAGTGTTGGCAGTAAAGTGTTCAACAAATATCGAAGCTCACTTCGACCAAAAAATGCAAACTCTTTGATATGCACTTGGACTTGACTATATGGATATGAGTTTACAAGTAACATGTTAATATAATATTTCATATATTTACATTTATTAATATTTGTAGTTGGTCATTGTTTTGTAGATGATGATGTATATGATGATTTGGATGATGGTCTTGATGTGCCATTAATTAATCCCAGGATTGTGGAATCAAGAGACTCTACCACCCCTACCGTGGGACGAACATTTGTTGCCCAAAAATGTTTTTTGTTGAACATTTGATTATGTATTTGTTTATTTTAGTTAGTTTTGTATTATACGTTATTGACTTCTTGTGTTTGTTAATGTGTATTATTATTAGTGATTATGTATTTATTTATTTTGGTTAGTATTTATAGTTTTGTATTATATGTTATTGACTTATTATGTTTGTTAATGTGTATTACTATTAGTGATTATGTATTTATTTATTTTGGTTGGTATTTATAGTTTTGTATTATATGTTATTGACTTATTGTGTTTGCTTATGTGTTATTTGTTTATTTTAATTTGTATTTGTTTATATTCTAAATTGAATTGAATTTATAGTAGTTGATTTTGGTGGTGTACATGTAAAAAATTAAAATTGCAGGAAATTTGGGGGTGTAACTATCATAATTGAAAACTATTCGGGGTGAAAATGCAAAATTGAAACCTGAAGAGAGAAAAATGGGGCACTCAAGTCCACCTGTACTTGCATAGGGTAGGGTACGGGCCCAGTACGGGCCCAATATTTTGGACCCGTATAACTCGACCCACATTGGGCACGTACTCATGGGACCTGTACCCATAATGACCTGACTCCAACCCAGCCCACCCGCCTGTTTTGCCAAGTCTAAAAGCAATAGATAGTCCCAGCAATTTGAGGAGCTAGGGGCCTCCTTTAATGACTCTTAATAATCTCCATATCTCTCCCTAAACTCACACCCCTTTTTATACTAATCCTTTAACTGAATTATTCCTTCCACTAACCACCTGATTCTTCACATGCAAATAACACCTAACCAACCTCCACTAACACACATGCACTCTCACACCTTTTTACCCTTATGTCCTTTATATTGATACATCTTCTTAATGAGAGGTCTATCAGCTAGCATCAACTAGGATATTTATTTCTTTCATCTGTTTATTTTCTATGAGTTAGATAAGCAAATGTGTTTTGGTAGAACCAACGGTGGCTCAAAAGATGAAAGATATAAAATACCAATAAGCAATTGTTTTTCAACATTCTTAATTTATCTAGAGCTGAAAGAGTTAATCAACTTGGCAACTTAGGCACCCCGTCATAATCATAAGACAAAGCTGCAGCGGTCAATGTATCCATGCTGTTATGAACAGGCGGATTACCCTGAAGACATACGACATTCAAAGAATGAAAAAGGCAGCATCATACATATCGAACCATTGACAGGAAATTTTGGGGCTTATTTAGCACAAGTATAAAAGTTAAAGCAGCAAAAAATCAAAACTACCAACACGTTTCCCAATTATTAAAGAAAACAATCATGTAAACAACTATAATACATCATCCCATATATTAGTACCTTCCTCATGGGTTTCATTTGCCCGACTCTTTCAACTAAAGAATCATCCATATCTGGACCTTCCATCTGAACCAACGACAACAATAGAAATTAAAACATAAAACTCTTTCCACACAAAAATTAATCATAAACAACAAAGATATTGAAACCAACAAACAAATTATCATAACCTTAGAGGAGCACAATGTTATAGTAACATTTACCAGCCACAAATTGCATATTACTAAAATTCACATTCCTCACTACTTTGAAGTTGCTATACATATGTACAAGAATTGAAATCAATGAAAGGGACTGGTTAATTTACCAGCATAGTAGCATAGTATTGCCCATCAATTTCATTCACATTAATCCTCTATCTTAAAACTTGTTTTATTTCTTGGCCAAACCAAACTCAAAACTAAGACTCTGCCAATGCCAGTAATGAAATTTTAAATGTATAGCCCAATGCTAGTGATTCGGGGTTAAAATAGGAATTATCGCGAATTCAGGGACTACAGTGTCACTTTCCTATTTTACTGGACTGAGGCAATTTTCTCCATACCTCAGGGTGACTTTTTTATTCACTCGATTGAATAACTATTTAACTAAGTTATAAATAGCCCCCAAAACCCCCCATATTTAACAAACAAAACCCCATTTAAACTCACAATTAGGGGTTAGGGTTTTCACCAATCATCTTCTTCCCCAAAAACCACCATGAAACCAAAAATTTCCCGCGAAACCAAGAAAACCCAGAAGCAAAATCAACCAAACGAAGAAATTACAAGCACCCCAGATGAGTTCTCTTTCTCCATAATGAGAATTGCAGTTTCCCAGATCTGCAAATCACTCGGGTTTAAAGGCGCCCAAAACTCATCCCTTGAAACCCTAACTTTGATCGCCACAAAGTACCTTCAAGAGCTTGGCCAGTTGGCTGCATCCTACTCCCATGCATCCCGCCGCACTGAATCCAACGTTTTTGACCTCGTAAACACCCTCCATGACCTCAATTTGATACAGGGCTTTGTTGATGCTTCAAAAATTGAGGGCAACTCTTGCTTGTTGAGTTCTAGGGTTTTGAAGGAGCTTAAATGTTTTGTTAAGTACAGGGATGAAACCCCATTTGCTAAACCTGTTCCAAGAGTGGAAAAAAACAAACTTTTGAGTAAAGGGTTGGTAGCTTGTGGTGAAAAGGAGATAATGATGAAGAAGAATTTGCATATTCCGAAATGGTTACCGGCTTTGCCGGATTTGAGAGTAGGTGTTTGTGAGAAGAGGAGAAGTTTGTGGGAGAATTCAGGGTTGGTGGAGGGGGAGGGGGAAGTAGGTGGGGAGTTGAGTCTAAGAAAGCAAAGTTTGGGGGGTGATTTGGTGAAGGAGAGAGAGAAGGTGAGGTTTAAAATTGGGGTGAAAGGAAATATTATGAGCAATGGGATGTCTAATGGTGATGGGAGTGATGAAGAAGATGAGAGGAAGAGAAGGAGATGTTAGTGTTTAATTAGGGAAGTTTTATCATTAATGATTAGTGTAATTGATGATAATGGTGAAAATATTAGGGTTTAGGAAATTTTTGCTTTAGACATGATACTATATCATCAGTATCAACATCATAGAATTGGAAAAGTTTTGAATGAAAATGAAAGTGGGAATGGTGAAGTTGGTTTTGTGGTTCTTTTTGTTCTATTACTAGAGTTTCTTCTGTGATTCAGAAGGTTTTGTTAGGCTCTAGTTTCATCTTTGAGGATTGTATTCTGGGTAAACTTCTTGCAACATAATTATAAAGAGACTAATTTTATGATGTTATTTTTTTGTCTTTTTGATAATGGATTTCAAGCCTTGAGCAAGTAAAGATAGGGCATATGTATGTCACATCCGCTAATAGGATCATCTATAATTGGTTGATTGTATGAAAGTCCGCCGTCGACATGGTTGTAAATGATTTTTGGTTCTGTGAGTGAAGTTTGCTAATGGTCAATGGAAGTTTGAGATTACCAGGCTATTTGATATTTTGGTGCACTGTTTTAAAACCCGGTCCGACCAGGCTAGTTGAACCGGTTCAATCGAGCCTCGGAGCCTTCGTCGGGTTGGGTTACAAATTTTACTATTCATTCAAAATCTTAGAAATTACGACATCAATCTGCGAATAATTGAAGACTGGAATGTTAGGGATTTTGAAGAGAAACTGCTGATGAGTGCAATAGTAACAACGATGTAGATTTCCGATGAGTTAATCGATCAGAAGTCGCAAAACAATTTCATCGAAAAAATCTTACTGTCGCCAACGATTGGGGAGGCGAATCAGGGAGGGGTGAGATGGGTTTTAGTTAAGAGGCTGAGGGANCAACGATGTAGATTTCCGATGAGTTAATCGATCAGAAGTCGCAAAACAATTTCGTCGAAAAAATCTTACTGTCGCCAACGATTGGGGAGGCGAATCAGGGAGGGGTGAGATGGGTTTTAGTTAAGAGGCTGAGGGAAGTGTTTTCGTAATGATGGAGAGTGTTGTCATTGCCACAAACAAACTCTATTTGCCGACATAAACGATGATGTTTGATGATGTTTAAGGTGTTTTTGCAATATTTCAAACTTATAGGGATTTACAAAATTTTTAAGAATATTTTTGTTAAATTTCAAACTTTTAGAAACCAGTTTGACCCACTGGTCAGACTGGTCAATCCAAGACCCAACCACTTTACCAAGTTTTACCTTGGGTTGGGTTTTAAAACATTGTTTTATTGAACATATTTTCTTACTTTTAAATTAGGATGACTCTAATATAAAGTACCAAGCTCTTTCACAAGGTAAATTGTAAAAAAATATCAAATTGGTTTTACCATAAATTCAGGGAATTTAAAGCTATTTATCAAAAGCTATCTGAATTTGGCCATAAATTTGGTTCATCAAACAAGTTCCTCTAGAATGTGTTAATGTAGAAAACAAATAACATTTACTAACAAATAACATTTACTACAACAATAACATTTTTTCAGAAAGCTTCATGCAAACAAGAAGATCATCTCTGCCAAAAAGATTCTCAAGATTCAACAAAAGTTGAGGTCTCATTCACATGCAAAATAGGTTGTTCTTGTAACAAATGTTGGCAAATTGCTAACTTTTTACTATTAATACAAATTCAGGATCATATATTTTGACATATATATGTTTTTATCTCTCACAATATTATATAACAAAAGCTTTGGTAACAAACAAAGCAAGCATCTTGAAGAACAGCACTCATTTTTTTCCACAGTTGAAGCCGTGGCAAACAGAGAGGACTATGATGAGGATCAAGGCAATCAGTATTCCGAGAACTATCAGCTTGATCTTCATGTTTTGCAGCCACATTTTCCTCCGGATTTGGGTCCCAGAATTACGAAAGTCTTGTGCCTGCAAGAGAAGTGATTTTTCCAGCAAAATTGTTAAAGAGTTGTTTCGAATGAATTATATCTTGAAAACCGAATGCATCATTATCTCATCAGGAAAGAAATTACTCGGTTAAAGTTCTTGGAGATCTAAGTTCAAAGACAATGTATTCAAACACATACATGTACAAAGGAGAGAGAGACACTAACCTGATGATGAAGGTTCTCGGTCTTATCCACAAGCAGCTCAATCTTTTCCCCTCGATCTAAAACCTGCATCAAACCACAATTAATTTCTGTGAGGATTATCCATGGAATACTCATGAATCGCAAGATAAAAATGGAATGTGGAGAGAAATCTAAAGTAAGTTTAGAGAGTAAAACAGATTATTGCAATTCAACAAAAGGTCGTCGCACTCTGCATTAAGTATGCAGCAATCAATTGATCCTAAATAGAAGTTAACACAAGTAACTTGCATAATATCATCTTATTCATGGAACATCTTCGTCCATATCACAACCACATGACTGAGTTTTTCCTCCTTTTGCATGTGTCTAAGTGTGTGTGTGAAGGTATGAATCACAATCAAAACTACATGAGTCAGTGCAAAATACTTGGGACCTAAGACCTTCATAGTGACCGAGCACAAATGCAAAAATGATTTCACCTATTAAAACTACACAAAATGACTAAAGAGAAGATGACAAACATACATGCCCCATAAAAGTATTTAACGGAATGAGTTCGTAGAAGAAAAAAGAAGATCAAGTAATCATTTCAGTTTGTCAGGATGCAATTAAGGACCTGTTTGACTTGGTATGGAGAAAGAATATGATACAACAGTGATGCTATGAGATACTGTCAAAGAGATGAAATTACTGAAATCACCACACTTGCCCTAATATCTCATTACACGGGTAAAAACATGTTGATTAGTTTCTCACCCTCTACAATGCAGTCTTGTATAGATGTCATTTGTTTAAAACTATGAGGAAGGAAATGCCAAAGTATCAAGGATCCAGACTAAGTGCAAAGACCCTATGACTTGTGCACAACACAACCCAGGATTAACTTGCAAAACATTCAGGGTTATCAAAAATTTTGGTATGCAGACACAATCGTCTAAGAGACAACATGCACAGGCTATTATTAGGCCCATGCTTTGATGCATGTCCTAATCGTAATCTAGAAATACAATCATATGATACCTAAAGTGTAACTTGCAAGGTGTCACACCAACCGCTTATATTTCCTATTTGATTTTGTCACTTCTTTTCTTGAATTTCAATCTACACTGTTTAGGGTTCAGATACATTCTCAATTTCTTCTTTCAATCATCCCTCTAGCTAAATTGTGATTATTTTACAATTTACACCACAAATAAGAAAATTTGGGAAAGTTGTAACAGAATGATGACAAAAGTTTAAGAAAAATACTGCATCTCAAGGTAATCGGAAACAATATTAAAACTACATTTTCCAGCAACAAAAAACCAGGAAAATCTCTACACAAATAAACAAAGCATCTCTACCTTTTCGATATTCTCCATCATAACACCTTTGACTTCAGAAACCTGAGCTTTCACCTTTGCAAGCTTGCTTATTTCTTCCGGATGATCAACACAGTACTGCATATGAGCTTTCAATTTTGGACTGCAATGAATGGTATATTATTTTAACTTCAATGACAAGAAATATTCCCAGCATGTGTATTTCATATTTAAGCAGAATAGAATACCCAAATTCCTTGTTAAGGCCATTGGCTTGAGCAGTGGCAGCCTTTCCACCACCATATTTTGAAACAAAGTCATCCTTGACACGCTCCAAAAATGCAATAGGTATTTGTCTTCCAACTGATTCATCTGCAACCACACAATATGCTGTAATATGGAAAAGTCAGTCAATCTATCATTATGTTATTTTTTTGTCTTTTTGATAATGGATTTCAAGCCTTGAGCAAGTAAAGATAGGGCATATGTATGTCACATCCGTAATAGGATCATCTATAATTGGTTGATTGTATGAAATCCGCGTCGACATGTTGTAAATGATTTTGGTTCTGTGAGTGAAGTTTGCTAATGGTCAATGGAAGTTTGAGATTACCAGGCTATTTGATATTTTGGTGCAGTTTTAAAACCGCGTCCGACCAGGCTAGTTGAACCGGTTCAAGAGCCTCGGAGCCTTCGTCGGGTGGGGTACAAATTTTACTATTCTTCAAAATCTTAGAAATTACACATCAATCCGCGAAAAGAAGACTGGAAGTTAGGGATTTTGAAGAGAAACTGGCTGAGTGCAAGTAACAACGATTAGATTTCCGATGAGTAATACTCGAAGGCGCAAAACAATTTCTCGAAAAAATCTTACTGGCGCAACGATTGGGGAGGCGAATCAGGGAGGGGTGAGATGGGTTTTAGTTAGAGGCTGAGGGAAGTGTTTGTAATGATGGGAGAGGTGTGTATTGCCACAAACAAACTCTATTTGCCGACATAAACGATGATGTTTGATGATGTTTAAGGTGTTTTGCAATATTTCAAACTTATAGGGATTACAAAATTTAAGAATATTTTTGTTAATTTCAAACTTTTAGAAACCAGTTTGACCACTGGTCAGACTGGTCAATCCAAGACCCAACCACTTTCCAAGTTTTACCTTGGGTTGGGTTTTAAAACATGTTTTATGAACATATTTTCTTACTTTTAAATTAGGATGACTCTAATATAAGGGCATTATTGTCCAAAATTTTAATTAAACAAGGGTAAAATTGAAATATGATATTAATGTAAATTTCTTTTAAAATAGGGGCATAATTGTCCAAAATTTTTATTAATAAGAGATAAAATTGTAACAAAAAAAGATAACCTTGGTAATCTTAAAATACCTAAGAAAATAGAGGTAATCAGGTTACTTCCAATATTACTAATAGTAACTACTATTGGTATTTGAAGATTACCGATATCTTATATTACTTGACAACCAAATGTGGTAATCAAGTATTATATTACTTGACAACCAAACATGCTAATCAAGTAATATAAGATCACTTACCCCCAATAATGTCAAATACCCCCTAACCAAACGCTTCTTGAAGACATATGACATTCAAAGAAAGAAAAAGGCAGCATCATGCAT